TTTGAGCATCAAGCTATGAACCAGGAGGTCACAGTTCAACTCCCGGTCAAGGGCACATGCCCGGGTATTGGGCTCGATCCCCAGTAGGGGGCGTGCAGGAGGCAACCGATCCATGATTCTCTCTCATCACGGATGTTTCTCTCTCTCTTCCTCTCTCTTGCTCTCTAAAATCAATAAAGATATATTTTAAATAATAACAAACTGAAATAAATTCACCAGAGCTCATTATCTAAATAACAAACTCTCATGCCCACCTCAGATTTCCATTGTCTGCAAATTTACTCTGAAACAGGGGAAGGGTATGACACATTTCCCTCAGGGAATTGTCTGCTGATTTACAGGCCCTTTTGCAAGAAAGCCCTTATCTTGTTGACACAGGCGAGACCGTGTCAGTAAATGAACAGAAGGACTTGGGGAGGGAGCTTTGAGGCACGTCCCTTCTCACAGCAACTCAAGCCCTATCCGTGGCAAAATCCCTCAGAGAATTATAAAATGACTAGAGGCCCAGTGCACGAAATTTGTGCACGGGGGCAGGGGATAGTGTCCCTCAGCCAGACCTGCACCCTCTCCAATCTGGGACTCCTGGGACATCCCTCTCATAATCCAGGTACTGAGATTAATCCAGGATTAATTTCATGATCCTGGCTCCTAACCACTCCTCTGTCTGCCAGCCTCCTCGCCCCCAACTGCCCTCCCTGCCGGCCTGATCATCCCCAAATGCCCTCCCCTGCTGGCCTGATTGCCCCTAACTGCTCTCCCCTGCTGGCCTGATCACCCCTAACTGCCCTCCCCTGCCAGCCTGATCGACCCTAACTGCCCTCCCCTGCTGGCCTGATCACCCTTAACTGCCCTCTCCTGCTGGCCTGATCGCCCCTAACTGCCCTCCCCTGCCAGCCTGATCGACCCTAACTGCCCTCCCCTGCTGGCCTGATCACCCTTAACTGCCCTCTCCTGCTGGGCTGATCGCCCCTAACTGCCCTCCCCTGCCAGCCTGATCGCCCCTAACCACCTCTGCCTCAGCCCTGGCCACCGTGGCTTTGTCCAGAAGGGAGTCAGACCTCTGGAAGATGTCCGGTCAACCTGGTCTAATTAGCATATTACCCTTTTATTAGTGTAGATATGCACCCCTAGCTGGTTTGGAGCAGTGGATAGAGCTTCGGCCTGATGGGTCCTGGGTTTGATTCCAGTCAAGGGCACATGCCTGGGTTGCGGACTCCATCCCCAGGTGGAGGCGTGCAGGAGGCAGCTGATCCATGATTATCTCTCATCATAGATGTTTCTCTCTCTCCCTTTCTCTCTGAAAAAAAAAAAAACCAACCAAAAAACTCCCAGCTCAATGACCTGGACTGAGGCAAACACTTCCCCAGTTAGAAAGGAAAGATGAATGGGGCCATAAGGAAATGTTAGAGATCTGTCTGTTGGCATTTAGGAGAAGAAAATAAAAAAAATAAAAAAGGGTAGATAAACACACAACATAATTCAAATGTCACCCTTATACTGCCCTCGAAGGAATCAAGCCCAAAGGGGTCAGGAGACAGAGTATCTGCAGGAGGACACATGATAAATCTAGAGGCCATGGGCTCTTTTAAAAATATATATATATATTTTATTGATTTTAGAGAGGAAGGGAGAGGGAGGGCCATCTGTAGACCAGCCCTTGGTTCCAGATCATCCGCACCACTGGATGCGGAGGAAAATTCAGGAGAGGGGAGCAGGTTATAGAATTAATTCCCTCCAATGGTCGAAACAAGGGTGTGTAGGTCACAGAGCATTCCAGAGCTTCCTGAGCCCGTTCTCAGGTTCCCCTCCTCCTCCTCCTCCTCCTCCTCCTTCCTTCTTCCTCCTCCTCCTCTTCCTGCTCCTCCTCCTCCTCCTTCTTCTTCTTAAAATATATGTTTATTGATTTCAGAGAGGAAGGGAGAGGGAGAGAGAGAGAAAGATCAATGATGACAGAGAATCATGGATTGGTTGCCTCCTCCATGCCCCCTACTGGGGATAAAGACTGTAACCCGGGCATGTGCCATGACTGGGAATCAAATCCAAATCTCCTGGTTCTTAGGTTTAAGCTAAACAACTGAGCCATGCCAGCCAGGCTTTTTTCTTTCCTTTTCTTTTCATTTTTTCTTAATTAAAACTTTGTAGTTGGTTCAACTTTTCTTTTTGTCCTGACACCACCACCATTTTTCTGATCATTTCAGAGGGAACTCACAAACCATAGAAGAACCCACCCCATGCAAATAGTATGCTTTAACTTTAACATCTGGCAGAGGACCAAAGCTAACATCTACCTCCAGGTGGGCTTCTTGACAGCGGTCTTGCTTCTCAAGTGCTGGTGAGAGAGGCAAGGCCAAAATATTCAGGGACAGACAGATACCTGGGATAGCTGATCGGGAAAACAGGAAGCAAAGTGACAGGTGAAAGAGCACTTAGGATTCATGAGGTCTCATAACATCACTTATAGAA